GGCTCTTTAGAAGCCGGGGAACACCGTGTGGACCCCAGAAAGTGCGCACAGGCGGGCGGACTCAGAACTGTACATAGCTTTCGAGGGTTCCCACGCTCCCCAGGGACAGCTGGGTTAAGGATCCCTGCCCTGAGGGCTGCCTCCCTGCCTTAAAGTTTCGGGTTTAACCTCCCTGCCCACCTGACTTTCTTACCATCCCTGTGACTTGTGGACCTGAAGCTAATACATAAGTCTTTGGAAAGGATTAAAATCCTATGAACACTTAAGACAGGAGCTAGACTGACCTCCCAGGGTGGCAGGTGTGGTGATCTGGGCTGTGTGTGGGTTCTGGGGACCTCCCTGAGCGAGAGAAACCTGCTTCCAGCCCCGAGCCAGGCGTGGGCTGACTTCTTCCCATGCGTTTGTCCCGGAGTCACTGTGTCCACAGAACTGCGGACATGCCGAGTTTCATTCTGGGAGTCTTAATACGCCACAAAAACCACTTTTCCTTGAAACAAAAAGGGTACTATATCAAATGCAGTCTTATTTAGGAAATTATTAGCCTCTATAACTAGAAATAAGCAGATTATAGTTTTTAAAAGATTAATTTAATCTTCATCACAAGGCAACTTTGGAGGAATACATTCATTCAGTTACGAAATGTTTCCAAAGGACAAATGGAAGCTTGGAAGTTTGAACTATTTTTTCAAAGTATCCAGATTTAGAAAGTCTAGGTCAATATCAACTTTTAATAAAAGCAGTCATTCCCAACAATTATGGTGTTGAATTTTGTGTGTGTGTGTTAACTACAGCTTTAGTGGAGTATAAATTCTATAAACAAAAAATTCATCTGTTTTAAGTGTGCAATCGAATGATTTTTAGTAAATTTACAAACTTGTACAACCATCACCACAGTCTAATATCATAGAGCATTTCTGTCACCCCCAAAATGGTCTCTCACTTTTTAATCACAAGAAGTGATACCAGAAAAATAATCTTAATTTATTCCTTTTCGTATTGGCATCACCTAAGTTACATTCTCATTAATAAATGACCTCTACGGATATCTCTTCCAGGCAAGCAGGAGACAGTTGGGGCCAAGCTCTTGCAATCTTATCAGAAGCTGAGGTGAGTTGTTACAAAGGACAGGCCGTCCTGGGCCCTTGGGGCAGGGCACAGAGGACGTTCTGAAAGAGCTTATAGCTCTCTTGACTTTCAGATGTCACTGCTTTGGAATGTAACTCGTGGAAAAAAAAAAAAAAAAGAAAGATCATAAAGTGCCTGGAAAAGATTCAAACTGAGATGTTTCCAGATTCTTATGGAAAGCCTTCTAGCTAACATAGTATTTTCTCACTAAATATTCTGTTTTATTTCTTAAGTCTTCCTGAAACATCATAAGGAAAGTAAATATTATCCTTAATTGCACATTGAAGGAAATCCTAAAGTAAGCATTTGCTTTGATCTAATCATTCATATCTCTAACACCTTACCCAGTGCCTGGTACCTTAGAGATATTTGTGGAATAAACATTGGTGGGATTGAATAATGGCCTGAGACGTGTAACTTCTTTGCACAAAATTCTAAAAACCTAGCAGTTTTTAGCTGGCCATAACTCCCACGCCTGAGTGTGCTGAATTTATTAGAGTATTACTGAAAGCTTCCCCACCACCTGCTGGGTTTTACTGGCCCATAACGAGATTTTCCAGTCTCAGAACGTTTTCATTTTTTTCTCCTCTATTTCTTACCACTTCTTTGAGCACAAACTTCCAGTTCTGCTCCTGGTTGATTTTCACATGCGCAACATTTTTGGCATTTCTGCTGGTGCCCTGGGAGCACATTTGTGGGGCCGGGGTGCCCTAGCAGGCAGGGGGCAGAGCCGGTTCTGAGCTCCCCGCTGTTTCAGAGCACACTGTTCCAGATTTCACATGGCATGACCCTCGTCCCCCACATTACATATCAGGAAATAATGCCCCCTGCAGAAGAGCAGGTCCAAGTAGGGCTGCTGGGTCTTTTTCTAAAAAGTTAAGGCAGTTAAAAAAAAAAACACCAAAAAACCTTGAGGACTTGAATTATAGAATGATGACACGTCCTATCTATGTTGTAAAATCAATAACTTGCATAGTTCATAACCTGGTTCTTGTATTTTTCCTTGGCAGCAAAATTTCTGTGGTTCCTCCTACGCCACCTCCCCTCAGCGAGAGCCAGTGTGGCCGCAGCCCCTGCAGGGTAAGTGTCTGTCCTGGAGGCTTCCCTAATCGGGGCTCGGGGGGTGGCCGGACACCTCACACGGCACAGAGCTTTGGCTTTGACTGGAGCGGGTCACAGAGCAAGGCAGGGAACGAGGCCCCATGTGAGGTTGGCCAGGGCTCCTGCTGACATTCGGTGGCCCCGGGACCATCGGGGCTGTCCTCCGCCTGCCCCCAAGGCCTCCTCTTCCCTCTTGGCCTGTCGTTGGCCCTCTTCCCCACCTCTGCACTGCACCCGTGAGCATGCGGAGGGTCTCTAGGGGTCTTGGGAAATGGGTTGACCGACAGGTGTGTGAGTGTGGAGTGCCGTGGACAGTGAGCGGACCTGTCACGCGTTTGCAGCCTCTAATGTAAAGGGGACCAGCGCCGTTTCTGTCCAGAGAAATTAGCTGTAGGGGGCTGTCTGGGTTTCCCTCCTGAGAGGTGGAAATAATTATACAGATGCTCCTCGGCTTAGGATGGGGTTACGTACGTCCTGATAAACCCATCATAAGTTGAAAATGGTGTAAGTTGAAAAAGCATTTAATACACCTAAACTACCAAACATCATAGCTTGGCCCAGCCTGCCTTAAATGTGCTCAGAACACTTACTTTAGCTTACAGGTGAGCAAAATCATCTAACACAAGGAGATATTTTATAATAATAAAGAATAAAAATGTTAAAAAATAAAAATTCGAAGTATAGTTTCTACTGAATGTGCATTGTTTTCACACCATTGCAAAGCCAAAAAGTCATAAATTGGGGACTGTCTGTGTTCCTCTGGCTTGCCCCCAATGACATGTGAGATATTAACAAACTAATGTCTGAGCTAGCACTTGGAGACTGTACGGTGCCATGGAAAGCTACAATCTTGATTCTCTTCACCGTTACTAGATAATTCCTGGAGCAATTATATCCGTATATGGGAGAATACGGGAGCTGATCATAATCCCGAAAGACACAATCCCAAATGTCATAATCCTGAAAGATCAAAATCCCAAAAATATAATTCTGGAAAAAATAATTTAAAAATTCTTTAAAAGATAATTTATTTACATTTTTAAAAGGGCAAGTGTTTGAGAAACATGAAAACAGAACAGAACACAGGTCACTGCATACAATAAAATAGGCAAGAATAACATTTTTTCAGGGAAGGAAGGAGGCAAAAAAAAAATTAAAGATGAAACTAATTATATATATTTTTGCAAGCATAAACGCTCAGGTATACTAATGACAGTCACTTGGGCATCACAATTTATGAGCAGATGAACCATATTCATAAAGAAATAGGTCAAAAAGGGAGATGTCTGCATGCACATCGCTATGGTTGGTGATTGTGTGCAGCCAGCTTTATAACGGTGGTTGTCTGAAACGCTGTGATGAACAACTTAAGTCTTTGACAAGAGTCATCAAAAACCACCATGGGTCACCACTGCACATGAGGTTGCCCAAAGAACTGAGACCTCTAGAAATTTTATCTTTCACAAATGCAGATGTACAAAAAGGAGACCTCTTCATTTATTGAGTATTGAGGAGGTTTTTACATTCTTACTATGTATACACACAGCCAACGTTGTGATAATGTACTTTTGTGGAGTCAGATTTGCAAAAAGTGCATAAAATGAATTAGAACCCTCCAAAAGTCTTTACACATTTATGCCTCCAGTATTGGAAATGATTCAAAGATGAAATATATAGCCATGTACACCTCTTTAAGCCATAATTAATTTCTAAATAAAGACAACAAGGTTCCTCCTAACAGATGTAGCTATCCTATGATTGGGATTTTGAGGATCTTAGATGTTAGGGATTTTAAACTTTGGGGATTTTAGCCTTTAGGAATTTAGAGTTTAGGGATTTTGATCTTTCAGGATTTTAACGTTTGGGATTATGGCTTTTAAGATTGTGTTTTTCAGGGTCCTCGCCCAAACCTGAGAACATGCATTGTCTGATGATAAGAGAGAGAAAACACATACATTCTTTTTCAGTGTCAAACTTAGACTCCAGGGTGACCTTCGAAATCTTGCTCTACTTTCTCCTTGAGATTTTAAATTCTCCAAAGTCATTCTAGCACCTGTGTGCTCAAGACATATTTATTGGCTGGATGGATGAGTGGATGGGTGGGTGGGTAAATGGATGCGATTTAGAGAGGGAAGTGACATCCTTTCTATTGTTCTCTCTCTCTTTTTCTTCTCTCTTCTGCTTTGGGAGGCAGAACTCCCTGGCTCCAGACTGGTCACCTTGTGCCTTGGCCCCCTTGGCCCCCTTATCACATGCATTCTGCCCAAGTTGGCATCCCTTCTGCGTGGAGTTGGGGTGGGGCCAGAAGAGAAAGGAGATTAAACAAGCAGTAATTTGCTTGAGTACAATCTTTGAGCCAATGACATGCCAGTCCCTGTTTCTAAGAGAGAGTTGTCATCTTGTCAACAACCCACTGATGATGCTCCTTCCTTTAATAAGAATGGCAGCGTGTGGAGGAGGGACACGGGGTAAAGAGGGTGCCTGTCTCTTGGGAAGACTGGGCTCTCCTCACCTGCACACATGCACACCGCATGCACCTTGAGCGCCCACGCCCGCGTGGACCCACACGTGCCCACGCAGACACACGTCTGCTCGTGTTTTGGGGTTGCTGCCTGGAGACTGCTCAGGCAACACGGGTCATCAAGCGTAACTCTCATCCTCTCTCCTCTGTCTCTGTTTTAGTTACAGGAACTTGGTCAGTTTAAAGGATTTAATAAGTCCGTGGAAAATTTGTTTCTGTCTGTTACCACCCACATGAAAAGTAAGTGGATGCCTCGTGATATGTTCTTCCCTCCACTCCCCGGGCCAGAGGGCCTGGCCCGTGACTTCGGCTAGACTGTCCCCGAGTGCCAGGAACAGCCACAGCACCTGGCCCTCCATCCCCTCCCCAGCAGAGCAGGCCTCTGGTTCCAGGTGGGGCGGGGTGGGGGATGCCACGTCAGTCCCCGAGGCCGGTTCAGTTTCCTCCTGCTTCGGCCAAAACATGCCCAGCTCAGCATCGTGGTCAAAGGAGCTTGGCACGCTGTGGACTCTGCTGAGGACAGCAAAGGGGACAGAGATGAGATTCCAGTGAGTGTAAGACCAGGGCCTGTCAGGCCAGGTGGGGCCCAGCATGTCATTCGAGTGGGGTAGCTCGTCCTTTCTCCTTTGCTTCTTGGTAAATTTATTTTCCTCGGTTAGCAGTAATCCTGCAGTTTGCAAATGCAGGTGACCCAGAACTGCCACTGCTTGGAATCGTGTCTCTTTCAGTGTTCTTTCTGCTCAGATAGTCTTGTCCCTGTTTATTTTACAATGCAAATCCCAGAGAGCAGACCCTGTCTCATGTCCCCCCGTGGGCTGTGAGGGGTCCTCAGGTGTCTGTTCTCTGTTGCTGTGTTTCTGTTTGGCTTCTATTCAGCCTCCCTTTCTCCGTAGTTGCACGTAGATGGTCTCATTGTTATTTGAGTTTAGTCATCAGTATTCCACACAAGCCCTGTCTCAGCTGTGTCATGGTGACAATCCGTCAAAACACAGCTCTTTGGATAAGCAGATGGTAACGGTCTCATGCAGCAGCCTGTCCCCTTCTCCTTCAGAAGGGAGGGAGCAGCTGTATCGATTGCATGGGCCTGTTTGCTCTGGCGCCTGGAGGTTTAAGAATCAGCGCTTCCACCCTGGGGGCTCTGACAGTCTCCAGTTCTGTCCCTGTCAGCTCTGGCGGTGACTCTTTTCTCCTTCTCTGCCTGTCTCTCTGGAGGCAGAGCCTCTCCCCAAAGCCACGTGGCTTCTGTGAGTTCCTCCCCACCACTGCCGCTGTGGCATTAGGGCCTTGGCATTAGCCCCAACCCTGCCATCCCTCAGCCACGAAGTCCAAAGGGGCAGCGGCTGTGGGGCCACACGCCCTGCCGGACGGCCCCGGCCCTGCGGACGGGTGCACGTGCCCGCCGAGCCCACGGCTGTGGACAGCCACCCGCAGCCTGCCCGTGAGTCTCCTCCCACGGCGGACTCACAGCTTCGTACCCAGGTGGGCTAGAGCTAGTCCCTGGGTGGGGTGCATCTCTCCCACGCCCCATGACCTGTGTCCCCCCACCCTTCCTCAGCCCAGAGGCAGGGGTAAAAAAACCCGCTTTGTGGCTCCTGGGAACACCACCAGGCCTCAGACCCTTCCTGAGTGCCTCCCACTGGTTCCGCAGGGATGGGACATGTGGCTGTACACGCCCCTCACCCTGTCCCTGCCACAGGACGTGTGGCGTCTGTCTTGTGGGTGCTGATTCCTGCTGCTTTAGGTTTTGAGCTGTTTGCATGTCCCTCTCGACCATTTTTGTTGCCTGTTTCCCTGCAGAGGCGTGGGGAGGAAGCCGCGCCCTGGCGGGGACGGGGTCAGGTGGGCCCCTGGGGCCGGCGGGGAGGGGCTGTGAAGGGCCCCACTCTTGGGGCGATGGCCAGAGTGCTGCAGGAGGCCTTGCGCCTTGGGGTTTGGGCAGTGACACAGGATTATGGCCTCTGCTGCTGCCCACGTTGCCGGGTAAAGCCAGAACAGCTGGGAGGAAGGAGTTGTCCCGGACCTGTCTGTGGTCAGTGGCTTTCTAGGCGCTGTCAGCGTTATAGTCCCTGAGAGGGAGAAGAGGGACTGAGAACGTTGATTCTTGCCCAGGAGCAACCTGCGTTTCTCCCTGTCCCTTTTCCTCTCCCCCAGGAGTACCGGGACATAAGCCTGTGTGTTAGAATCTGAATGGCTTAGGAAAGCGCTTCCTCCCTGCTAGTCTGCAAACTTCAAATGGACTAAATGGACACAGGTTTTAGGGGACACCGATCAGTTAGTGGGGGGGGCCTGTACCTCTCGAGGGCTTAGGAACGAGCCTCTCACACCTGCACGGCCCAGGCTGGCATTTGGCCACCTGAGCAGGGGCCTCACTGCGCCTACTTTGAGGCCCTGGCACATGCTAGTGCCTTTCGAGCTGCCGGGTGTGGGAAGATGCCCCCGCGGCCCTGGAGGGCGGGCCTGAGACGCGGCATGGCTGTCAGAGGAGAGGCTCCCAGCGTCCCGGGGGAGGGTGAACCCCCAGGGGATCGGGGAGTGTGTCTGGATTTTCTTCTCCTCTAGGACACCAGAGATGCTCCCAGACCTGCCCCTGGGCAGTGTGAGCAGATGACTAACAGTGAGAGGACGGGGACTCTCACAATACTGTCCCGATGAGTGGGGCGGGACACGGACAGGGGTTTGGATCCCCTGAGATCCGGCTGTGAGGTGCGCTGCAGTAAATGCACGCTGGGATCAAACAAAAGTAAAGCCTTTCATGAATAATGTTAATATTGATTACATGTTTTCACAGTAATACTTTGGGTATATTACGTTAAATACAGAATTTTACCTTTCTCTTTTTACTTTTTTAGTGCGGCTACTGTAAAATTTAAAGCCACATGTATGACTTGCACTGAATCTCTGCTGGGCAGCCCCGCGGTAGAGACAGGCGTAAGGTGCATGTTGGAGAGAAGCAAGGCTCACAAGGGAAAGGAAGTGGTTTTGGAGGGAAAACCATCGTGAAGGTGGCGCTCTCGCTTCTGGGTGTGGCCTCCTTCCTTCGTGCTTTCCTCATCTTTACTCTAGACCACTGCTATACTGCAAATTTTTTTAAAGTCATCTTTTCAGGGTTTGCTTACTAAAATAGTTATAAGGACACCCCAAGTCTTATTTTCACCTCACTTCAAAGAGTTACAAGAAATAGTATTTGGTTATTATAAAATCTTTGTAAGGAAGCCCTAAAAAGCCGGCTGGTTTGGGGGAGCTGCCACTCCACGTTTGGGTGAGCGCAGGCATGTGTGTGGCCCGGAGAGCAGGGCAGCCTGGGGGGAAGATTTCCTTTTAACTCCCTCCCCCACACTCCCCACAGTGGCTCTGTCCCACCAGGCGTGTGGCCAGTGGGACCACAGGGGGTCCTTGAAGGAATCCAGTCCTCTCCGGCCCTGTGTCCAGCACAGTGTCGAGTCACCCTCCGGGTCCCTCTGTGCTTGCTGGGGGATGTGCTGTCTTTGTCCCCTCCGTGCACTTTGCCCTCCTGGGACCTTGGGCCTCTGTCCGTGGGCTGCCGGGTGTCCCAGAAGAGGTTCTCGCAAGTCTCTGCAAAGCTGTGCATTCCCCCCGTCATCCCTTGTATTTGTTTTTTAGAGCTCTCCAAGTCCCAGAATGACATGACTTCTGAGAAGCATCTTCTGGCCACGGGCCCCAGGCAGCGTGCAGGCCGGACGGAGAGACGGAGCCAGTCTGACACTGCTGTCAACGTCACCACCAGGGTACCTGGGGCCCCTCAGGCCTCTGCGCCAGTCACCTTCATGTGTCTCTTCAGAGCTTCCCAGCCCGTTTCCTCTGTGGATTTCCTTTTCCTTTTGTTTTATAGCAAAACGTTAAGCAGTCAGAGAAATATTATGACAAGCTCCTCTATTTGGGCAGGCCTGGTTAAGGGAAGGTCAGAATTCAAGATCGGTCTGGAAAGCCACTAGGAACAGGGCAGGCTTGGTCCTAACCGCCGCCCCTGGGCTCCCTGCTGGCTTCAAGGCCACACCAAGGGCAAAGAGCATCCTGCAGGGCTGACGCTTGCTGAGCTATTCTTGGGGTCTGCCAGCCCCCTCATGGAGGGTTGAGAGGCCTTCCTGCTCCCATTCAAGACCAACGATCTTTGGTTAAAATCTGCACAGGTCTCTGATTGAAACTGCTGAAAATGTAAATGCTGCACAGTCGAGCTCAAGCTTGACGGGGACTCTTTCCCCAGGTGTCTAAACCCCAGGAGAGAGCTCGCCCGATAAAGGCTTTTAGGGAAAGAGTTACTCCGGCTTTGCACCAGGATGAACCAGACCTTAAGCAAATGCAATGGGGCATGAGGGAAAGCCGACTTTAGAACCAGAAACCCTGGGTTCTAGTTTTGCTGAGCTGCCCTCCTGGCTGGCGGGCACCACCCACTGTTGTTCACAGGGTTGACCTGACTGCCCTGGGCAACAGAATGGGACGGATACCCCTTCTCTGTGGACGGGGGCTCCGCTCGAGATGTCCCCAGACAGACCGAAGATGACAGCAATGAACACCTGTTGTGCCCATAGCACAGAGTGTTTATAAACATCCAGTGAGATAATATAGTATCTAATTTGCCCTGTAAATATATTTTCTAAATTGCCAGCATTTGTTGTTATGTGCCAGACTCTCCAAGCTTTACCTGGGCTGTCTCATTTTATTCTGGTAACTTCCCTATCAGGTGGATATTGCATGTAGCCCCATTTCACGTTTAGGGAAACTGAAACTCGGAGAGATAAGTGCCCAAGGTTCTAGAGCCAGGAAGTGGTGGGCTGGGGTTCAACCCCACCCAGGCTTGGTGAGGAGGCTGAGCTCTGGAGGCAGTTCTCAACTTTCAAGTGTGCAGATGTGTGGGAGTCACTTGGGCTCTGCTTAAAATGCAGGTTGCACATGGGTAGATCCAGGTCGGGCGTGGGCGAGCCCTGGGACCAGGTGAGGAGGATGCTGCTGGTCCTCAGACCGCTCTGTAGGAGGGAGGCATCTGGAGGAGCTGAAACATGTCCGGCCAGTCTCTGAAATTCTAAAGCACAAAGGTTAGCTCATGCTGGCTTCCCAGCCACGGAGGCACCGTCCTAACTGCTGTCCCGGAATCAACTCCTTTCCCCTAAGTGAAGCTGCTCAAGGAGAGAGTTGGCGTGCATTTATGAAGCACCATGTTCTGGGCATGGTGGCAGCATTTTTTACACACTTTGTCACATGCTGTTCCTACAGAAATCCTGAGAAAGTCGTTACTCCCGTGGTAAAGATCAAGAACTGAGTTTTAGTGAGAGGTTAACCAACTTGTCCAACATCACCTAAACAATAAAATATAGAGCTGGGAGCAGAACTCGGGTCTGTACGATTCTAAATTCTGACCTTGTGTATCCACGTGAGGAGGACAAATGGGGACCACTGCAGAAAAAGTGTTCAGGAAGGGGTTCTGGAAGTGCGAGTGACTCTCTGATCCTCCTGGGTCAGGTGAGGCCACCCAGGTGATAACATTGACTAGGGGTTAGCCAGGTACCCACGCTGTTCTTGGTATAAAGCCCTCAAATAGGTATTTCACCTTTTTAATTCTTAAAACAACTCTGTGATGTCTGTACTATTACTGTCCCCATTAAAGATGAGGACACTGGGACAGATGACCAAGGGCTGGGCAGAGCCAGCTCCGGAGACCACCCGCGCCACCCTGCTGAGGGAGGCGTGGCGCGTTCCCATTGGTGATGAGATGTGCTGGGAGGTGGGGACCCCAAGCACCCACAGGCTCAACTTGTGGCATCTGGATGACACGACGTGCATCCTAGGCACACACCCTGCCCTGCTGCGTGCATGCTCGGCACAGAGGCTGCCCCCACGCCCACCGGGGGTGTCTGGTGGGCTGAGGGAGGTTGGGGAGAAGAGAGAGGTTGCGGGGGAGGCTGAAGGCAGAGCCCCACCCATGTAGATGCTCTGTGACGCATGTGTCCACTTCACTGCCATGCTCTTGGCAGGACATGCCTGTGACTCTTTGCAGTCCTTCTCTGCCCCACCTTAATTGAGGATGTGGCCGTTTTTAGGAGCAGTTTAGCCAAATGTTTATGCAGTACTCAGCAATCATGGCATGATCTGTAAATGCTAAATAAGTATTGGGCTGAGGCTGGGCACTGTGCCTCACGCCTGTAATCCTAGCACTCTGAGAGGCTGAAGCAGACTGCTCAAGGTCAGGAGTTCGAGACCAGCCTGAGCAAGAGCGAGACCCCATCTCTACTATAAATAGAAATAAATTAATTGGCTAACTAAAAGTATATATATATAAAAAATTAGCCGGACATGGTGGCGCATGCTTGTACCCCAGCTACTTGGGAGGCTGAGGCAGTAGGATTGCTTGAGCCCAGGAGTTTGAGGTTGCTGTGAGCTAGGCTGATGCCATGGCACTCCAGCCAGGGCAATAGAAGTGAGACTCTGTCTCAAAATAATAATAATGATTATTATTATTGGGTTGAAATATAAGGAGTATATTTTTAAATAGGACGTTGGTCAGACTGCAGTTACACATGCCGTAGCTGGTGAGCTCACAGAAATCGCATTTGGTTTCATCAGGACACTTGGGGCAACTTGCCAACAGTTATGCCATGCGGCACCCCTTCTTGGAAGCGGGGATGTCAGTGCTCAGCTTGCAGGTGGCTGCCCTGAGCCTCGGGTGCAGTAGGTAACTTCCTCGAATCCACGTGGTGACCAGGGGTGTCACCTGGGGAAAGAGCTTAGGGTTTCTTCCACGTCACTCCGCTGACCCTTAAGTTTGAACCACACGTTGTGAAAATGCTCCTGCAGAGATAGATGCTCACATACGTTCCAGTGGGGTTTCCCTGTACATCCTGTGAATGGGTGCTCGATCTGTATTGGCCATGAAAACGTGCACCTGCTAACAGGGAGGAGGCATCAAACACTGTCAGGAGGGGCTGTCCCTGGGCAGGGGTCGAGGACAGAGGTGGAGGAAGATGACTTTATCTCATTCTGTTCTCCTTTGTGTCGTGGGAAGCTGTCCCCACGGGTACCTGAAATCTAAGGAAGCAGCTTCCACCCAGCACCTGCCTTCCTGTCTTCTCTTTCCCGCCTGCTGGCTGCACCCCAAAGGTTGAGAGGGGCAGTAGTTGTTTCCTGCTGTTTAACCCTTTGTCCTCAGATCCAAGGGCAGGGGCAGTAGGCCGCTTTGCAGCTAGAATTTGCCGTTGCTCAGAGCATGTCTATGGCCAAGCCAAGTTACACCTGGGTCAGGCCTTACGTTGAAAGACGGCCCTGAGATGGAGCCTCAGAGGTGGTAGCAGTAGTTCTTCCTTCTCTTATTTCCTTATGATCTTTCCTAACATCAGCAAAAATCCCAAATACACATGTCGCTTGGTTCCAGAGAATCTGTAATTTGACTAAATGAAAACTAACATTTCTCCAGCCTCCCCATATAACAAACTTAATAATTCTATGCAGAGTAGACCTTATTCAGGGCAAATGTTTTTCTCTGTAATCTGGACAAGCTAGATAGTTACCAAAGTTCATTAAAAGTCACAGCAGGAAAAAAAATGCCTGTGCCAACAACATCGGTGAGCAGCCGCTCGCATCTCAGCGCCCTGAGTAGGCGCCGACCCTCACACCGCCATGCCAGCCCTTTGGGACGTGGCAGGGAAGAGTTGCACACACATAGTTCCAAGCTAGATTCCTTAGTCCATCAAAATAGGTATGTCCTTCACAATAGTATTGACTTTTCTGATAATTTTCGCATGTTGATGTTTGTATTTAAGCTTCATTCAAGATTTCCCGGAGTCCTGACGTGCTGAGCAGCACTGCCTTCCCTGGCCATGAATCCGATGTGCCCTGCAATTACTATCGCAGAGATAGTTCTCTTCCTCTTTGGAACTTTCTGCCATCAGTTTGGTTACGATTCAAAAAATATAATTAAGCATATAATAAAAACTGTATGAGTCATCTCTGGCTCCATAACAAAGTGCCACAGACTAGCTGGCTTCAACAACTGGCGTTTATCTTATCACCGTTCTGAAGTCTGAGGTCAGGGAGCCAGGGAGTGGAGGGTCCAACGGGGGCCTTGTCCTGAGTTGCAGACGGCTGCCTCCTGACACGGGTGTGGGTTAGGATCGGCTGGCTGATGTCACTTCCTACAGGGGCACTGATCCTCTCGTTCCTATCAAGAGGGGCCCAACCTCGGGACCTCTGGCCCCAATTACCTCCCAAAGGCCCCACCTCTGCATATCGTCACACCGGGGTAAGGGCTTCAACATGGGAATTTGGGGGACAAAATTCAGTCCACAGTAAACGCCTAGGAGGCGCAGGCTTTATATTAACGTTTAGCTCCATTTTATTCTTTCCGTTCCTGTCGCGCTGCCCTGGATCTTCCTCGTGCCCCTCCAAGGAGGGCAGCCTTGCTGGGTCCAGAACTGTTTTCACCTTATAAAACTAAACTTTATACTTTTAATGTTAATATTGGCCAATTTAATGGGTAACGTCTTACATTTTGCATTCCTTTAATTTCAGCTGAGCTTTTCTGCATACTTTTTTTTCTCCCTTTGGAACACGCTTCCTTCTCAAAATCCTCCCTTCAGAGCTGCAGGCTCGCCCAGCCCTTGGTCTCCTTTGCTGTGGCTTTGGCGAGGGCCTCTCTGCCCACGTTTAGAGTCCCCTTGACCACCCCACGCGTCCCTGCACACTCCAGATGTCACCCAGTCTCTGCGTCCTGGCCTCTCGGGTCTCTGCGGGCCTAGGAACATGCTGCTTTCTCGGCCATCATGAGGGCTGCTCCAGTTGGGGCGCCACACCTCTGAGACGTCCCCAGCCAGCCCCCCGCACCCCTCAGGTCACAGCCCTGCTGAAGATCGCCCGGGGGGTGCTCCCACCCTCAACAAACCCTCCCTCCCTCTTCCCCGTGGACTGGGCTGGTGCCTCTGCGTGAATGGCGTGTTTCTCTTCTACTACCTGGGGAGCCCCTGGAGAGCAGACATTGTGGCTCTTCCTCTTCCTCCCTCTGGCCCCTCCTCCTCCTCCAACCCCCAGGACTCAGAGTGGGGGGTTCAGTATAGAGCTGCTCAGCACGCGCCTGCAGGAGCTGAGCGGGCCTCGCGGAGGTTGAGAGCACGAGTGATGTGAGTACCGGGGGTGGTCGTTTCCCTCATGTGCTCTCTGAGCTGCCCCTTCTGCAACGTGCACGGCTCTGCTTTCCAATACGGTAGTCACTGTAGCGCATAACTGCATACCTTATAGAAGTGTCCACTGTTAGCAAAGTATTTTTATAAAATGTAGAGACATATTTTGATTTTTCCCTTTTGACGGGCATGTTAGAGCTAAAGCTCCGCTTCTCAGGCCGCTACTCTATTTCACGAGGTTAAACGCCGGGATCGTCATCAAGGCTAAAATCTGGGCTTCGTTAAGACTTTGACTAATCCCTAAGTAACCCACCCATCGCCGTCCATGACAAAACTGGCCGGGCCCCGCGGGGGCGTGTGCCTTTATCCAGACTGGAGTTCACCCCCTGCTCAGCAGCCAGGGGTCGGAATATGGTCAAGCGGTAGGTGCGGGCTGTGCGTGCTGAAGCCCCCACGTGTGACGGACGGGACCAAGCTGGGACGCAGACTATGACATTAATTCTGCTTTTCCTTCTCCTGAAGGTCACCGCGGCGGACGTTCTGAAGCCCCTCAAGCAGGAGGACCCCAGATGTGCTACCCTCCCTGTCGTGAGGTGCGGGCAGCTCTCGGCCAGGCCCACGCCCGGCTGGGCATTCTCTGGAGGCTCAAGACACGTGAGTCTCACCCCAGTGTGCCCGGCGTGTGGGGCGGGGCTGTCACGATGCAGGGAGGCGGGAATGAGCTGTTGTCCTGAGATAAACTGCAATGTGACCATAGAGCTTGGAAGTGATGTTTTACTTAGATTAGGAGCTGGGAAAATCCCTGCTATGCTTTGAGGGTGTTTTTTTTTCTTTCTTACAACATCTTGTTGTGAACATTATCATACATACAGAGAGGAATTAATCACAAAATAATCTTTTGATTTTTTTTTGGTGTGTTTAATTTTGATAAAGTTTAATTAAAAACTTTTTTTCATGGTTATTTCTGTGTCTTGTCCATCTGCAAGGCATGAATATCCTTTCCTATGTTTTTATCTAGAAGCTTTTAAAATTTTAGCTTTTATGTTTAGGTCTGTGCTGCAGCTAATTATTATCATCATTTGTGAATGGTGTAAGGTAGAGATTGAGGCTTTTTTTTTTCTATATGGATATTTAGTTAATTCAATACTATTTGTTTAAAAAGGGCTATCATTTCCGCCAGTGTCTTTATTGAAAATCAAATGGCCAGGTACGTGTGGGTCTTTGTCTCGGCTCTCTGTTCTGTTCCGCCTGTCTCTTCATCCTCATGCCAAGACCCTGCCGTCTTGAGTACTGTAGCTTTGCAGTAAGTTCTGAAGTTGGACAGTGTAAAAAGTCTTCCCACTGGGTTCCTCATTTCCAAGATTGCTTTGTGGTGTTTTAAAGTGTATTCTCTGTATATAGGCAGGTGTTTTCATTCATTCACTTATTTAAAAACGTTAATTGAATGCTTACTTTATGTCTAGGATTGTGATACGTGGTGTGGTAGCTGGAGCCCTGGATGAGGGGTCTTGAGACCTGAATTAATAGTTGTCTTACCTGTTTGTGCTATGATATGCCACGGACTGGGTACTTTATAAACAATAGAATGTGTTTCTCTTGGTTCTGGAGGCTGTGAAGTCCAAGATCAAGGCACTGGCAAGATTGGGTCTGGTAAATGCCTGTCCCTCCCAGGTGGCTGCATCTAAGGGTCCTCGCTTGGCGGGAGGGGTGGGAGGGCCAAATGCCGCGCCAAGCCTCCCTCCCTCATACAGGGCTTCACTCCATTCACTAGGGCTCCGTTCTCGTGACTTAATCACGTCCTAAAGGCCCCACATTAGCAATTACATTTCAATACATGAATTTTAGAGGGGTCAGAAACGTTCAAACCATGGCAATAGTCATGGTTCTTTTACTTACTATATGATTTTAGACAATCACGAAAACTCACGAGGACTTCAGAGTCCTCATCAGGGAAATGGGCTTCAGGGTTCTTTTTATTTTACCGGATTGCCTTGAGAATTTGATGAGTGCATGAGTTGCACGGTGCACTGCAGTGTGAGAACCCAGCCTGCTGGGTATAGTGTGTGCCATTTGTCTAGGGGTACACCAAAAGCCCAGACTGCACCACCACACAAAATAGCCATGTAACATGACTGCACTTGTACCCCATAAATTTATTTAAAAAAAAAAAAAAAAAAAAAGGAAGCCCGTCTCTGGAGGCCCAGCCTTTTGTTCACATGCTAGCTCCTCCAGTGGCAAGGACTGTGGTCCAGAGCAGGCCCTGTAACCAGGCCGCGCCTCAGGCTGGCTGTTTTTTATGTAAAATGGTGTCGGCTCAGACAAATTTTGCACTTCTCATCTGCGTGAGGGTCTGCGGTGCGTGCACAGGTCGCGGTAGGAGCGGGCCAGACCATGCGTTGAAGAGACTCAACCCACTGGAGCCCCTGCACCCCTTCACCAGCTTCCGCGGGTGGCCCTGCCTCCATCGAGGCCACCGCTCTGGCCTCGGAGCACTGGTGTCACCTGGGAGCTTGTCAGGACCACGAACCTCAGGCGCACGGAGTGCAGGCTGCACCAGAACAAAGCCAGGAGCTCTGACGCACAGTCAAGTTTGAGCAACACCAGTTGGGCCCTGGCGGTTTCAAACCTTGAGTAAAGTGAGTAACTTGTTATGGATTCTCAGCAGTTTAGGGCTTTTTTTTTTTTTTTTTTTTTTAAAGACAGAGTCTCACTCTGTTGCCCAGGCTAGAGTGAGTGCCGTGGCATCAGCCTAGCTCACAGCAACCTCAAACTCCTGGGCTCAAGTGATCCTCCTGCCTCAGCCTCCCGAGTAGCTGGGACTACAGGCATGCGCCACCATGCCCGGCTAATTTTTTTTTCCTATATATATTAGTTGGCCAATTAATTTCTTTCCATTTTATAGTAGAGACGGGGTCTCGCTCTTGCTCAGGGTGGTTTTGAACTCCTGACCTTGAGCAATCCTCCCGCCTCGGCCTCCCAGAGTGCTAGGATTATAGGCGTGATCCACCGCGACTGGCCCAGTTTAGGGCTTTGCTGCCCGATGCAGGGGCCATCAGTCCCCGGTGGCTACTGAGTCCCCAAAGCATGGCTAGTCTGAATCGAGATACTCTGTGAGTGTAAAGTACACCCTGGATTTTGAAGACTTTAGTATGAAAAGGTGAAATATCTCATGAATAATTTTTGTTTTGATATATATTGACATGCTAGTGTTTTGCATATATATTGGATTATTAAAATATACCATTAAAATTTCACTTCTTTTTTTAATGTGGCTACTGGAGAATTTTGAATTATGTGTTTGGCTGACATTGCATTTCTGTTGGACAGCATCGGTCTGGACACTATTGTGCATTAAGTAGCGCCTGGAGTACGAGCTCTTTTCCCGGCTTCTCTGGAACGACGTCCAAAATGTTCTGTGCATTTGCCTCGGCGCACTTTCCGGGGAAGAAGGTTCATGTTTTCATCCGGTGTTGGGGTCAGTCGAGGCTGAGGGGGAGCTGAGGCTGCACCTTCCTAGAGAGCCGATGAGGCAGTTTTCCCTGACCTGCCTGGAGTCCCCCTAGATTGCACTCGGAGCTACTTCAGCGGCCAGAATCATGTCTTCGTGGTTTTAGAACCTGACATGTAGCCACATACGTGGGCAAGGATCCACCCCTGACGGTCCGGGGGTCCTGTGGGACCTGCCCCCCCTCCCCCTCGCTCACTCCACTCAGCCATGAGCAGCTCGCTGGTCCTTGGGCCCCAGACGCATCCCGCCCCCCCCTTCCCCCAGTGCATCGGTCCCTCTCCGGACAGCACCAGCTCACACATTCGCTCCCCTTCAAGTCCTTGCTCCAAGCTGCCCCCCAGGGAGATGCCCCCATCCCGGTCTCCCTTCCCTGCTCTGTGTTTACCCGTGTTCCCATGCCCTTCCAGATGCTTGGAATTGGCTTATCTGTTGGGTGTTTTCTATGCCCCCTCCCCACTAGACTGTGGTTCCCAAGTGCCCTGAGCTGTGCCTGACAGTCAAATGGCCTTGGTAAGCGTCTGTTGAGTGATTCCATTGACCCTAATCGGACGGGTGTTTACTGAAAGCCTGTGGTGGGCGCGTCACATCTCAGACATCCTCACCACCGTCTTTCATGGAAGATGCTGTCATCCCAACTCCCAAACGAGGAGCCTGAGATTAAGTGACTTGCCAAGGTCCTAGGGACTAGAGATCTCTGATCCAACCCAGGGGCCCTGGGAGCCAATAGCCAGGCTTTTGGTACTATCCCGCAGGGTTGGTTGAACTCTTAAACTGAGAGGTTTTCCTGCCCCACGCCACCGGGTCCAGCGTCACTCGCTTGGGGCTGAGGCACACCTGGTAAACGTTGAGGAGCAGTTAGGGGCCGGGACTGGGTCAGGGCGAGGCGGGAGGAGTGAGTCTGTCTTAGTTTTCTTTGCTTCTTAGGAGGGTTCCTGTATGTCTTAGTGCAGAAGCAGCGGGACTCTCTGTTCGTGTCCCTTGTTCTGCAGTTTCCTCTGATTTGTGCCCTTAAAGTTTATGATCATGAGATGGAATCATTATGCATTTAATTGGAACCCGTTCCCTTTAGACCAAAGCAGTGTGTACTTGAGGAAATTAAACTCCCGCCAAACAAATAACTGATTATCGATTCTCGCCCAAAGATGTAGCCTACCCTTCTGAGAGATGTTTACAGTCTCTGAGAAGCAAGGAACTGGGACTAGAAAAAACCTTATTAAATGTCCACTTATTACAAGAGTATTAACGCAAACAGACAATAAATAGGGAGAATCGCTCAACCTCCCAAATACTCAGACCAGTGCAGAATTAAAGCGAGTTGCTATTTTGGGACCACTTTAGTAAATTTAAAAAATAAGACAGCTCAGTGTCGGCAAGGATATGGTGCAGCAGGCATTCTTACCAACTGCTGGGGCGAACAGAAATTGTTTGCCTTTTCTGGAGGGCAATTAGCAATATATACCAAAAAGCCTTTGTGAAGTACTAATATATGTTCTCTTTAATCCAGTAATTTCAGTTGCAGGAAATATTCTTTAAAAATTATCATGAATGTTGCCCAAAATGTGCATATGTTAATGTCCAGGGTAGCATTATTTATAATTGTTTTAATTTTGAAACATTGACAATCAAAATGCCAAGAGAAAGTAAGTTTGCAGAGTTGCAAAGAATATGCACACAGCATGATTCTAATTGTATAAAATCCAAAATCAGGCAAAACTAACCAGTATATTGTTTGTGGGAGATATATATACGTAATAAAACTTGGCTGGGTGTGGTGGCTCATGCCTGTAGTCCCAGCACTTTGGGAGGCTGAGGCAGGAGGATCACTTGAGCCCAAATTTGGAGGTTACAGTGAGCTATGATCACACCACTGCACTCCAGCCTGGGAGACAGAGTGAGGCCCCATCTCTAAAATAAATAATAATAATAAAGCCATCAAAAGCAAGGATGATTAGCAGACAATTTTGAAACATCGTTTACTCAGGGACAGGAATGAGAGTGAAATTATTTTTCTTACACTGAGGGGTGACCACATGAATGCTAATTTTGTAAATATTTTTATACCTATGCATTATATAAACTCTTTTATATATTATACATATCACAGCAAAAAAGACAAAAAAGGAAAAACAAAGGAAATTATTTGCTC